TAGCAAGGACCTACAACCAAGATTACTCTACCCAGCAAAGCTATCATTTAGAATTAAGGGTCAGATAAAGATCTTCACAGACAAGAAAAAGCTAAAGGAGTTCATCACAACCAAACCAGTATTATATGAAATGTTGAAAGGTTTTCTTTAAGAAGAGGAAGAAGAAAAAGGTAAAGATAAAAATTAAGAACAGCAAATACATATCTATCAACAAGTGAATCTAAAAATCAAGTGAATAAAAAAATCTGATGAGCAGAATAAACTGGTGATTATAATACAATCAGGGGCATAGAAAGGGAGTGCACTAACTATTCTTCAGGGGGGGAAATGGGTGGGGGGGGTGATGTGGGAAGAGACTGGACAAAAATTGTACATCTATGGATGAGGACAGTGGGGGAAGGGGAAGGGCAGAGGGTGGGTTGGGAACCAGGTGGAGGGGAGCTATGGGGGGAAAAAGAGGAACAACTGTAATAATCTGAACAATAAAGATTTAATTTAAAAATATGGGCGCAGGGGTCTGGCCTGCATGATTCAGTAGTTAGAGCATTGGCCCAAGTGATTCTGCATCAAGGGCACATATGGGTTGCAGGTATGATCTCTGATCTGGTTGGGGCATGTGGCAGGAGGCACATGCTCTGACAAGGCTGGGGATTGAACCTGCAACCCAGGTACATGCCCTTGACTGGGAATCAAACATGAGGCCCTTCAGTGTGCGGCCTGGTGCTCTAACCACTGAGAATACTGACTAGGGCTCAGTGGTGAAACTTCAGCAGTATTCCCTTTAAAGGTGTATTCAGTAATTATTGATAAGATTTGTATTAAACTCTTAGCCAATGTATATTATAAGAAAAAATAAAAAGCATTAAGGATTAGAAAGTTTTTAAAAAAATTGTCATTATTTACAAGTGATATGATTTCTCATAGAAATCCTAAAAGAATCTGAAAAATTACTAATGAAGTTAATAAGTAAATGAGTCTAGCAAGTTTGCTGGATATATGATTACTAAACAAAATTAAACATATTTAATATATCAGCAAAAATATAGCACTCCTAATAACAAAGTATAAAAAGTATTTAGAGGCAAATCTAATAAAAGATTTGTGTGATCTTTAAGGAGAAAAAAAGTAAAAACATATAAAGGTTGTTAAAGACGACACAAAGAAATGGAAAGATATGTCAGATCATGAATAAGGCTAAGTTTCTTAAAGATGTAATTTCCCCCAATTAATCTATAAAATCAGTGTAATTCCAGTAAGAAGTCTGGCAGGATTTTTTATGGTATGTCAAAAGTTGATGGTAGAATTTAGATAAAAGAATGAAAGACAAAGAAAAACAAGGTGATTTTGAAAGGTAAAAGGGAGGCTTGGTAGATTAGATTTTTAAAGATAAAGCTTTAGTAATTAATGCAAGGTAAAGATGCAGGGATAGACAAATAGACCAATAGACTAGAATAGGAGAGAGTACACCAAAACAGACCCTGGCTTTTATGGAGACCAAGTACCTTCAGATGGAACTGCAGATGAGCAGTGCAAGGGAAGACTTCATTAAGTGGTATTAGGACAATTGATTGTGTATATGGAGGAAAAATACAATTGAATCCCTTCCTCACAGCACACATGGCTGGATTAAAGACCTAACTTGAAAAGTGCAACTTTAAATGCCCAGAAGGACATATAGAACACACACACACACACACACACACACACACACACACACACGACCTGAGAACAAAAGGTGTTTTTTTTTTTTAAAAAAATATGTTTTTATTTATTTCAGAGAGAGGAAGGGAGAGGGAGTGTGAGAGAGAAACATCAATGATAAGAGAGAATCATTGATTGGCTGCCTCCTGCATGCCCCCTACTAGGGATTGAGCCCACAACCCAGGTATATTCCCTGACCAGGAATCAAACCGTGACCTCCTGGTTCATACGTCAATGCTCAACCACTGAGCCACACCAGCTGGGTGATGAAAGGTAGTCTTAAAATACAAAATACATAAGCCATGAAGAAAAAGGATGGTTAATTGGAGTCATTAAAATTTTAAACTATTCACCAAAAGATTATTAAAGAGGTGAAAAGATAAATCAGTGTAGATGATATTTGCAACACCTATAACAGGTAAAGGATTAGGACTAAAAATACATGAAATATTGATTATCTTCCAAATCAATAAGAAAAAGGCAAAAAAATCCAGCAAAAAATTTGGCAAAGTTTAGAAACAGGCAATTTACAATTTAAACATAAAAAATGTCCAACTTCATTAATAATTAGAGAATGGCAATTAAAATGAAAAATAAGCCTTGGTCAATGTTGCTCAGTAGATAGAGTGTTAGCTCACGACAAAGGGTCTCAGGTTTGATTCCCAGTCAAGGGCATGTACCTGGGTTGCAGGTTCCATCCCCGGCCTAGTCTGAACAAGTGCAGGAAACAACTAATTAATGTGTCTCTCTAAAAATGAATGGAAAAAATATCCTTCAGTGATGATTAACAAAAACAAACAAAAAATAAGATGCATCAAAAAAATAATTTTCATTAGACTGAAAATAATTAAGAAGTTCGTCAGTAGGAAGTGTTGGTAAAGACATCAAATAAGTTCTTGCAGCTCGGCCACCGACATGCCATCCAGACTGAGGAAGACCCGAAAACTTCGGGGCCACATGAGCCACGGCCATGGCTGCATTGGCAAGCACAGGGAGCACCCGGGGGGTCGTGGTAATGCTGGTGGCTTGCATCATCACAGGGTCAACTTCGACAAATATCACCTATGTTACTTTGGGAAAGTTGGTATGAGGCATTACCACTTAAAGAGGCTTCTGCCCAATGGTCAACCTTGATAAACTGTGGACCCTGGTCAGTGAGCAGATACGGGGAAATGCTGCCAAAAGCAAGACTGGAGCTGCTCCTATCATTGATGTGGTGGAATCAGGCAACTACAAAGTTCTGGGGGAGGGAAGGCTCCCAAAGCCTGTCATCGTGAAGGCCAAGTTCTCCAGCAGAAGAGCTGAGGAGAAGATTAAGGGTGTTGGAGGGGCCTGTGTCCTGGTAGCTTGAAGCTACATGGAGGGAAGTTCATTAAAATGTCCACAAGTATAAAAAAGACATCAAATGATAGGAACATTGCTAATATTAGAGAAAATTGATATAATAGCTTCAGAAAACAGTTGGGCAATATTTAGTGAAGTTGAAGATGCTCATATCCTACAACCCAGTAATTCCACTTCTAGGTATAAAACAGGGAGAAACTTTACATATGTGTACAATAAAATGTACAAGAATTGCTCAAACTTTTTGAACTATTGTACTGTTTGCAATAGTGATAAATTATAAACTAAATATCACTCAATGGGAACTGGAAAAATAAGTGGTAGTATTTTCATAAGTGGAATTCTTAAATTGTAGTGAATCAATAAACTAGGTTTATACATGTCAACATGGATGAACCTCATAATTTTAAATGAAAAATAAAACACGTTTCTGAAGAATACGTTAGTGTATATGCTAATCATGTAATGCATAAAATACAAGACGATGTAATATATTTTTAGGGATAAAATAAAGTTATAACATGTACAAGCAGGACACACTACAGATTTTCCATAGGATTACCTTTGTGGGAAGGGTAGGGGATCTGAGCAATGAAAGGTAAGGCTTTATTTCTTAAGCTGGGTGGTAGTATATGGTTGTTCATTATATTATTCTTTATATCTTTTTGTGTATCTTAAATATTACATAGTATTTTTTTTTAAAAGGAAATGATTGCAATGTGGAGACCACAAAAATAAGCATGCAGGACAAGTAAAAACACCAGCTGCCTTAATGCTATCCAAATGGGTGGTTGTGGCTACAGTTAACAGCATCTGACATACTAGTATGTGTAAAAGGTGGTATATCTCAGAAATATTTCTATTTCCTTCCAGATACTCTCTCTAGCCACTTTCAACCCAATCCAACCCAAACTCATCTCAGTTAAAGGCACCCCAGTGTCTCTGTCTGAAACACTGGTCTTCCTTGCCTCCTCTCTTCCCTATGTATCCTTGAGTCTATCAGCAAGTCCCCTCATCACCACCTACAGAAGACATACAGAATCTATCATCTTCACAACACTCCACACTGTCCCCCATCAAATCCAACCAAACCTCCTTTCTTGCCTATATGACTGCTAGAAGTAATTCTAATATCCATCACCTTTTCCCTAACTTGCCTCCCAGTTGCTATGTTTGCCAGCTCCCCCACAGTGTCTTTTCAAGTGCGATCTCTTAAAAATGTAAATCAGATCATATCACTCTCTTGCTCAAAATCCTCCAAGGCTGAGATAAAAATTCAGATCCCTCACCAGCCTACAAGGCCCTCCCTCCATGGCCTGCATCTCCTGCCCTGTTCGCCCTTTCCATTCTAGCCATGCTCACTTTGCTCTTCCTGTAACAACCCTTTCCTCACCTTAGGGCTCTCGTGCTCACCATTTGGAAGCATTCTTCCAGTTTTTATTACGGCTCCATTCCTGGCTTCAGTGGGGCCTCCACTCACCACCTTTTCTAAATTGTTGCCACAACTTTCCCCCCCCCACTGGACCAGTCCCTCTATCCCAGTGGTTGGCAAACTCATTAGTCAACAGAGCCAAATATCAACAGTACAACAATTGAAATTTCTTTTGAGAGCCAAATTTTTTAAACTTAAACTATATAGGTAGGTACATTGTTATTAACTTAATTAGGGTACTCCTAAGGCTTAGGAAGAGCCACACTCAAGGGGCCAAGAGCTGCATGTGGCTTGTGAGCTGCAGTTTGCCGACCACTGCTCTATCCCCTTTGACTATTTCATTTTCCTTCCTATCTGCTGTAATATTATATACTAGAGGCACGATGCATGAAATTCATGCACGGGGTGGAGGGTAAGGTTTCCTCTCCAATCTGGGACCCCTCGGAGGATGTCTGACTGCCGTTTTGGCCTGATCCCCAGGATAGGGCCTAAACCAGCAGTTGGACATCCCTCTCACAATCCTGGACTACTGGCTCCTAATTGCTCACCTGCCTGCCTGCCTGGTTGCTCCCAACTGCCCTCCTGCCGGCTTAGTTGCCCCTCACTGCCCCCCGCC